TAGATTCACGTGTTCTTGAGTGCAGTTGACGCACGACGGCACAAGAGTGCCCAGGGTGTTAACACTGTGCTCACCAGCGTCACTACCATGTCACTACCACGTCACTACCACGTCACTACCACGTCACTACCACGCCACCACACGCTCCCCAGTGCCACTGACTGTGCCGTTCATCCCTGCGGTCAGAAAGCCTGCGCCTCCCGCTCCCCTTCCCCATTCTGCTCACCCCCCTCCCCCAGCAGCCACCAGTGTGTCCTCTGTTTACAGGTCTGTGTCTTTTAGTTTATTCGTTTTGTGTTCTAGATTCCACATACGCGTGAAATCATGGCATTCATCTTTCTCTGACTTTCTACACTTAGCATAACACCCTCTAGGTCCATCCACGGAGCCGCAAGACCTCGGCCTTTGTTACGGCTGAGTGATAATCCGTTACGCACACGCAGCCCTTCCTTCCAGGTCTCGGCTACTGCAAATCATGCTGCAACAAACACGAGCTGCATGCATCTTTTCCAATTAGCGTCCTTCCTTTTCTTCGGGTGAGTACCCAGTGGTGCGTGGTGCACTTGGCTGGATCACTTCTCACAGAACTAGAACAAATACCACTAACGTCTGTGTGGAACCACTAAAGACTCTCAACAGCCAAAGCTGCTCTTTCTTGAGAAAGAAGAACCAAGCTGGAGACATCGCAACCCCAAATTTCAACAATCCCACAAAGCCACAGTAATCAAAGCAGCGCAGTACTAACTGGAACAGACACCTGCGTCCATGGGAGCAAAGCGAGGCCAGAAATAAGCCCCTGCTTATATGGTCACCTAACCCTGGACAGGGCAGGGGCGGGTACACGGGGGGGACAAGACAGGCTCTTCCACAAACGGTGCGGGAGCACTGGACAGCTGCGTGCAGAACAGGGACACTGGGCCACTCTGCTACGCCACACACAAGAATAAGTTCAGACCTAAATGTGAGGCAAGAAACCCTAAACTCCTAGAAAAGAGCACAGGCGGTGGTGATTTCTCCAAAATCGGACGTGGCGACTTTTCCTAGATGTGTCTCCTGAAGCAAGAAAAATAAAAGCAAACATAAACTACTGGGACTTCACCAAAATAAAAAGCTTTCCCACGGCGCAGGCCACTGTCAGCAACGTGAAAAGGGCGGCCTACAGAATGGGAGAGGGGATCCGCAAATGACGTATTCAGTGAAGGGTGCGTGTCCAGAATACGTAAAGAACTTATACAACTCAACAACAACCACCACAACACCCCCCCAAATAATGTGATTCAAGAACACGCTGAGGACCTGAGCAGACGTTTCTCTAAAGACGTCCAGACGGCCAACAGAGAGATGCTCCACATCGCTCATCAGCAAGGGAAGGCAAATCACGATGCCGATGAGGAATCACCTCACGCCTGTCAGAATGGCTAAAATCAGAAACACAAGAAACAGGCGCTGGCAAGGCCGTGGAGAAAAGGAGCCCTCGTGCACGGTGGTGGGGACGCACACTGCTGCAGCACCGCGCACAGCAGGTGCCACTTATCCAGGCGCTTCCTGAGCACGACTGCGTGGCAGCCACTGCTTGGCTACAAGCCGCCCCTCCGGTGCGCAGCCACCCACGGGCCAGGGGACTCTCCCTCCCTGCCACCGCCCCTCCCCAAGGGGTGATGCTCTTCGCCTGGAGGGCACTTGCCAACTCCAGGGCACCACATGCGCTCCCCCAAGTTACACCAGTGAGCCATACTTCTGAGCAGCTCACTTTCTGGCTCGTCGGGGTTAAGCATCATCCACACGACACGCGGCACCCGCGGATCTCACCGTGGGGCTGACACCCCCCGCGCTGACCTGAGCTGGGTGCAGGAGGTGGGTGCGGAAATGCTGCATCCACCTCCTTGGGGGCGGGGGAGGGGGGTCAGTCACCCTTGCCCTTGGCCGAGGCTTTGCTTCTGCGGCCCCTCAGAGTCCATCTTCAGCCTCCGGAGAAACAAAGGGCCCTATTATCTGGGCGCCTCTCCTCAGCACTTTCTCCTGGCTCCAGGCGGAATTCACAGCGGTAAGATTTCTAAAATCACTAACGCTGCTTTTTAAAAAATGTGACTTGTTTTGGAAGCGTGCTCAGCCCAGCTGTCTGGTGTTTGTGCCAGAACTCAGAGGCCGGCCCCCTGCCCCGTCTCGGGTGGTATCCAGAGTCCTGAGAGGCCACAGGCACGTCTCTGCTCCAACGGAGGGCCGGGCTGGAGATGGTGTGAGGTGAACGCTGCCCCCACTCGGGAGGACACGAGGGCCGGGAGAGGGGACGGTCCCTTCAGAGGCCCCGACTGAAGTCCTGCCGCAGTGTGAAACTCGGGACAGTCGTCCTCTCGGGTCGCTTCCTGAGCCCCACACGTGGGGTTGGTCACGAGGTCTTGATTGAAAGGGCTCCCTCTCATTAGCATCCTCACATCCAAGATCCGGTAGCTTCAGATCCCGAGGCTCCCCCGACAGTTAACAGAATATTCCCCAAAGAACCCATCAAGGCCATGGAGCAGACACCTTCCGCTCTGTACAAAGGTGCTTCCCCAGCTCCAGGGGTCTGAGTGGGCACTGCCACCCACTGTCCCAGCGGCAGCCTGGCCACGGCTGGCGGGTCGGGGGGCACACCAGGCCAGCTACAGCCAGCACTGTCAGGACCCTGGCCCCACCTGGCCCGAGAAGCCTGTGGCAGGGGAAGTGGGGGGACGGCCCCCTCGAGGGTCCCTGAGCCTGGGGCCAGCTGTCCTCTGTTCACCTGTCCTTCCAGCCTGCCCACAAATCCCCGCTTCCACTCACGGGCCCTGGTGCATAAGCTGCCTCCTGTCCTCACTGAGGAGTCTCCTCACCCTCAGCTGGGTCTCCAAGCAGCCCCAGGGGTTCCGGCCCAGCTGTGCCTCACCTTCTCACGTTCTACCCCTTGGCTGGCAGCTGGGCCTGGCGTCAACTGTGGCATAACTCCACGGCATTTCTTTTTCTTAAGATTTATTTATTTATTCATGAGAGACACAGAGAGAGAGGCAGAGACACAGGCAGAGGGAGAAGCAGGCTCCCCGCGGGCAGCCCGATGCGGGACTCGATCCCAGGATCATGACCTGAGCTGAAGGCAGGTGCTCCACCGCTGAGCCCCCCAGGCATCCCCACAGCATTTCTAAATGTGCCAGAGATGGGCACACGAGGCCCCATGATCAAGGCAAGGAGGTAGAAAAAGTGAGAGGAAGTGTGTTTTTGCCACTGTCAATGAAGACACATGACTGACAACGGCAAGAGTCCGCACACGCACAGAACAAGCGGACGCTGCTATCTCCTACCGTACTCGCCGCTTCCCCATGGGGATGGCAGAGGCGCAGCGAGACGACGGGGGAGAAGGTGCAAATTCTGTCTCTGAGCCTCATGGCACCAGGAAGCTGCAGGTTCTGTGAAGGCAAAAGGTGGTCCAGGGCACAAATGCCTAACGGGTCTAACCGCATGCGTCACACACACACACACACACACACACACACACACACACACAGCTGCCAGGACCAGACTCGCCTGGAATTCTAAGGCTCACACAGAGCTCCCCACTGCAGTCATCGAGTTCCTGTGCTCTGGTTCTCCTTCCTCCACCTTGGGCCACCCCCTCCTGCTGACAAGCAGAGGCCCAAGAACCAGGAGCCAGGTCAGGAACCAAGGGCCTCGTCTGCCGACAAGGAAGGAGGCCCGACAGGTGAGGGGGTCGGGTGGGGCCCACAGCTCCTGGGTGACACTCAACACAGGGGTCACTGCAGGGTCGCTGCGGGTCTGAGCCCCAGCCAGCCCCGACGCGGAATGGCACAAGCCACACGGGGCTGTTGAAAACCTCAACGGATGAGGACTGTAGGGTAACCCCGAAGAATTCACCCCAACACCTGGCTGCTCCCCAGACACTTGTGGGCCTGTTCTGAGAAACCCACTTAGCAAACAGTAGAAACTGCTCGGGAATTAAGCTAAGCACCAAGAAAGCCGCTCTCAGGAGGCAGACAGTGCGCAGCTCGCCTGTGAGGCAGCCCGTGCTTTGGGGCCCCGGCCCAGGGCCAAGCCTCAGAGGAAGGGGCTTCCGACACAGCAGACCACACCTGTCCTGTCCTGTCTGGCAGAGACACTGGGCCGTGATCCCGCTCTCGTGTGGGCCCAGGGCAGCTTGCCAGACTAGTTCTCCCAGGGCCTGGGCTGCAGCACTCTCAGGGCAGGAGCACCGTCTACGTGACAGACTGGAAGCCCGCACAGCACTCACGGGGACGCAGCAGAGGTGAGGGCTCCTCCAGGTTAGACTTTCATCTGTCTTCGGGCTACCAGGTGATGCTGTCGAGCGCGTTGTCCCGGGGGAGGTCAGCGTGTGCTGAGCATCTACTCAGTGGCCCTGCTCATCTCTAAGGAGCGCTGTAGTCCTGTGGCATGGGCGCTTCCTGGTCGAAGAAACGCTCTTCACCGTGACATCGACATGAAATAGAAATCCTAGTTTTTACAGCCATTATCTATAGCTGAGCTGGGCCAAGAAGAAAGTGAAAAACACCTTTTTCTCCCTTAAGTGTTACGTCCTCCTTGAAATGGCCCAACATACACATTCCTCACAAGGAAGGCACCTCCGTCAGGGTCATTATCTAGCTGTCTTGAGTCTTCGAGCCTCGGGTCTCTCAACAGCAGCTGCTCTAGTGCTAGGGCAGGTGACCCGAGGCCCAGCTTGGGGGAGGGGGGGACCGTGCCAGGCGCATCTGCCCAGAGTAAGGTCTGACCAGCGTGCTGTGAGGAGGGCCACGTGCACGCCCCACACCGCTGACTGTCTAGCCCACACTTTGCAGGGGGTGAGCCCTCACAATTACTCGATACTGCATACGGGGAAAAGAGCGTAGCGTGTACTTGTAGGCTGACAGACATGTTTCACTCACCATGCCAACACACACGCGCCCACACGTAAGCACAGAGACTTTCAGGGATTATAACATTTGCTTGAAAATTCAAGAATTAAAATTACCCTGCAATGACGGCATCACTTTTTCTTTTAATTGAAGGACAAAAGTTGGTCACATTCAGAGATTAGCGGGCCTCATGCAGATATTTAAAACCATCCTCCTCTTTCTTGATAACCACCTCCTAATTTCGAGTAATGTCCACAAGCTCTTTAGAGCCATCTGAAATTGTCCTCTGCGGAGCTCCACCACAGTACAGTGCAGTACAGTGCAGGCGTGAGCACACGCGCACACGCACCCCTGGACGGCGTCTCACTGGATGTCATCATCATCAAACAGATCTTCAAAATCTATGTAAACAAACAAAACTACACGTTAACTAGACACAAAGGTAAACTAAGAAAAGGACTTCAAAATGAATTACATAATCATCCAAAATAGAAAAAAAACAGTAAACCATCTAAATAAACGAGCTTTCCCAGATTCCATTTTATCCAGCAGAGGTCATACTGTCCCAGGGGCAGACTAGTGCAGAAGGCAGCACCTTTAATCTTCTATTTAGGTGACAATCTTAAGAAAATGCATGCAGGCGGAGGCGAAGCGGAGGCGAGGCCGCTGAAGGCTGGCAGGCACTGGATGCCGCACAAGCACAGGAACGCAGAGGGCAGGCGGGAGGAAGGTGCTAGAACTGAGCCACCCAAGAATGGCCGTCTTTAAGGGAGTCCAACCAATGGTCCCGCCTGAGAGACGGTCTGAGCCCTTTGTGCCGGAAGAAGCACCACACACTCGCGGCGTTCCGCTTACTGGGATGGGTCCCCTGCCTCAGCACCAGAGGACACCGGATTCTCTTTGTCTGTGGGTTTCCTAAACCCTCTACCACGGGCAGGCCTTGCTCTCACGACGGGGAAAGGAAACTAAGGGTCTCCTCATAGTCCCATGTTCAAACGGTGCAGGACAAACAGCTGGAAAGAGGTGTGGAGGGCCCCGAAGTCACAGGGAAGGTGGTGTCCCAGCCGCCTCTGCTCAGCAATGACGCGGGGGGTCCCAGCGCAGCGGGGCAGACTCCCCGTCCCACAGTTCTGCACCTTTCTCCCCAGCCCCCAGCCCCAGCTCACACCCCCGCCCCCGGAGAAACTGCCCTCACAGCTGCCCCTCGTGCCTGGCCTACCACACAGTGAGTGAAGAGAGCACACCCCGGGGGCCAGGGGGGCAGAAGCCCTACCCTAGGCACTCCCGGCTAGTAAGTGGCTTCCTGAACACAGGGCACTGGCACAGCCTGACGGCCACGTGCTCCCTCCTCGTGAACTGTCGGTGGGTGGACCGATGCAGCACAAAGTCGTTCTGTGCTCCCTCCCTTTCCAGCCCTGACCAGAGAGAGGAGGGCCCCACGCTGGGCGGCCTGGGTCCCTCCCAGGTACCTTCCTGGCAGAATTAAAGGGCTGTTTTCAGAAACCACGTGCACCTGAACACTGGAACGCAGGCAAGTCTGTAAATCCAGGGGTCCCGTGGGACCCTGAGGGAGATTACTGCATGCGATAGCAGGTCGGGTGCTGCTGGAGATCACCCCGCCCTGCCTGGAGAGAGGCCTCCCAAGGTCACCCCACGTGAGCGGGGCTTTTACATGGTGACTCTGGAGACCTTAGAGAAAGGCTGTCCCGTCCTCCAGGCTGGTGGCAGCCCGGGTGTCGCCTCAGGGGAGCGGCCGGGTCCCCGGGAAGACGGCACCTAAGCAAGCAGCCTGGCTTCTCTTTTTAGGCAACGACTTGCTGAAAAGACACCAGATAAGAGAACGTGGACTCGGGCTCCAGCGGGGACTGGGCACATCAAACCAGCACCCTGGATGAAAGAAGGATGATGGAAAATACCACCTGGCTCTCCCAAGACGACCTATCTTGTGTCTTAGTAAGAATACAACCTGCAGGAACAAGGCCTTAGGAGACCTGAGGACAGCAGGAGAAACACCCCCTATAACGTGGGAAGGCCGTGGGAAGGCCGTGGGAAGCCCGTGGGAAGGTGTCACGCCCCCTTGGTTCTTCACTACTGACCATCCAGGTTCTGGGTAAGCAGCGTCAAAGCTCTAAAGTACAACGGAGTCCTGCTTTCAGCGGCAAGGGCGGGGAGCGCGGGTTGTGGCCGTGAAGGGAGCCCGGGGGGCCAGAACCCAGCAACACGACACAGGGAGGGAAGGAAAACCAGCCGTCTCCTGACAGCGGACGACGAGAAACCCCCCTGGGGTTCCTGCACCCGAGTCTCGGGTCACGACAACAGACCGGCCTCTGCCACGGGCTCAGGCGGCCAAAAGCGTGGCTACAGCGCAAGCTCGACCGGGAGCAGTTTTATACTTTGTTTTCCTCCTGAGAAGCAGGGCTGACTGCCCAGGCCCCCGTCTTACACACACCGCGCTGCGTCCTGGCGAGGGCCCCAGGCCGCCGCGCCGCAAGGTGTTCCACGGCCTCACACACCCGACGGAACACTCGGGTGAGCCCTGGAATCCCCAACCCCCGCGTCCTCACCATTGAAAAAGTCTGCGTGAACCGCCTTCTCGTTGGCTGCCAAGTCCATCAGGAGCCCGGTGCTACCTCCTGCCTGGAAGGGAAAGGGGACACGGCGTCAGGGCTGCTTTCCGGGAGGATGGAGGTGGTGGTGGGGGGGGGGGCAGCGCCCTACAGGGCCCCGGGCCGCCCTGCAGCAGAGGCAGGCGGGCGAGGGATGGAGACGTGCCCGGGTCGGAGCCAGAGTCAAGGTGGGCGGGAGGGGCGGCATCCCAGGGAATTACCTTGAAGGTGCCCTCGGGTCTTGGACGCCCTTTACACCGCATCCCTGGGCTGCCCCTGCTTGCCCTTGCCGCACAGCATCCTGCTGCTGCCCTGACCTGCCGCCTCCCCGCAAACCCTGGGCGGGGCTCTAGCCCCCTACGGGGCGCCGCAGAGGCCCCGAGTCTGTGCGAACCCCGCGCCGCCGCCCGGGCCCTGGATCGCCCTCCCCCCCCGCCCCGCTGCTGCGGAGCATCCACCCACTTCCCTGGGGGCCTCCCTGCGGGCCTGGGGTCCCGGCGCCTCGCGGGCCAGCGCGGCCGGGCAGGCGGAGGCCACACGGGGATGGGGGAGGGTCCCCGGGCCGCCTGCTCCCGCCTTTCCCGGCTCCGGAGTCGCCGGGCGGCTGCCCCTGGGCCTTTCCGCGGTCGTTCTCAGGAACCCAAACCCGAGACGTTTTTTAAAAAAAATAAAAATAAAAAATCCCGCGATCCTCCGCCTCCTCTGCCCCCGGCCCCGGGCCACGCAGGCCACCCGCTCCCGGGCCGCGTCCCCTCTCGGCCCCAGCCCCCAGCCCGCCCCCTGGGCCGCCTCCCAGCGCCGCCCCCGCCGCCCCCGCGTCCCCGGGCGCCCGCCTGGCCGCCGCCGCCTCCCCGCCTCACCTCGTCCAGGTCCACGTAGGGCCCGGCGCCCTCGGGGAACATCTCGTCCACCGCCGGCTTCATCTCGCCGCCCGCGCCCCCGGCCCGCTTCCGGCCCGCCCGACGCCTCTTCCGGTGCGCGCCGGCCGCGGCGGCTCTAGGCGCGCCGGAGGACCGCCGACTCTATGGTTCCCTCGGCGCGCGGAGCCCCTCCCGCCCCTGGGGCCGCCGCCGCCCCCGCCGCCCCCGCCTGGCCGCCGCCTCCCCGCCTCACCTCGTCCAGGTCCACGTAGGGCCCGGAGCCCTCGGGGAACATCTCGTCCACCACCGCCGGCTTCATCTCGCCGCCCGCGCCCCCCGGCCCGCTTCCGGCCCGCCCGACGCCTCTTCCGGTGCGCGCCGGCCGCGGCGGCTCTAGGCGCGCCGGAGGACCGCCGACTCTATGGTTCCCTCGGCGCCCGGGGAGGGACCTGCGCGGGGAGGCGGGGAGGCGGGGAGGCCCCGGGGGAGGCGGGTGGCCCCGGGCGCCGACCGGTCGGCCCCGACGGCCCCGCGCGCAGACCCGACGAAGGTGCTCGCGCGCGAACGCGGGGGTCGGAGGGGCGGGGCCGGGCGCTCCTGCCGTCCTGGGGGCGGCGGGGGGCGGGGGACACGGGGAGGGGGACACGGGGAGGGGGCGGGGCGGGGACACGGGGAGGGGGAGGGCACGGGAGGGAGGGGGGACACGGGGAGGGGAGGGGACACGGGGGTAGGCGGAGGGAGGGGACACGGGGGGAGGGCACGGGGGAGGGCACGGGGCGGGGAGGAGGGGGCGAGGGAGGAGGGGGCGAGGGAGGAGGGGGGAGGGCGGAGATGGGGACACGGGGGTGGCGGGGGGAGGGCGGCGGACGGGGGGGGGGAGCCCCTAGGGGGGAGCCCGAGGACAGAGGGCACGGGGCGGGTCTGGAGGTCTGGGGGCCCCGGGACTCCGGTGGGCAGCGCCGAGGAACCCGGACTCCCGGGCCCCGCCCGCGGCAGGCACAGGCTCAGGCTCAGGCTCAGGCACAGGCTCAGGCTCAGGCTCAGGCACAGGCTCAGGCACAGGCTCAGGCACAGGCACAGGCACAGGCTCAGGCACAGGCTCAGGCACAGGCACAGGCTCAGGCTCAGGCACAGGCTCAGGCTCAGGCACAGGCTCAGGCACAGGCTCAGGCACAGGCTCAGGCACAGGCACAGGCTCAGGCACAGGCTCAGGCTCAGGCTCAGGCACAGGCTCAGGCTCAGGCACAGGCTCAGGCACAGGCACAGGCACAGGCTCAGGCACAGGCTCAGGCTCAGGCACAGGCACAGGCTCAGGCACAGGCACAGGCTCAGGCTCAGGCACAGGCACAGGCTCAGGCTCAGGCTCAGGCACAGGCTCAGGCACAGGCACAGGCTCAGGCACAGGCACAGGCTCAGGCACAGGCTCAGGCACAGGCACAGGCTCAGGCTCAGGCACAGGCACAGGCTCAGGCACAGGCTCAGGCACAGGCACAGGCTCAGGCACAGGCACAGGCTCAGGCACAGGCTCAGGCTCAGGCACAGGCTCAGGCACAGGCACAGGCTCAGGCACAGGCACAGGCTCAGGCTCAGGCACAGGCTCAGGCACAGGCTCAGGCTCAGGCACACGCGGTGAGCGAAGGGCGCGCAGCACGGGCGACCCCGTGACTCTCCGGCACAGCCCGCACCTCGGTGGGCAAGTGACCGACGAGCCCTTCCTCTGCAGCCGACACTCGAATGGCGAATGGCGAGAAGCCAGGGAGGTGCTCCGCCCCCGCAGCCTTAGGGAGATGCCGAGGAACCACCTGACCTCCCTGTTTACAACCCCGGAGGGCGGGGGGTAAGGAGTCCTGGGGCGGGGAGGGGAGGGGAGGGGAGTCGCACACTGCTGGGGGAACGTGAGCCGGAGCAGCAGTGGGGAGCGGGTAGAACGGCCACTGGGGGACACACCTAGAGGACGTGGGGGCAGGCTCTGCTCGAGACATTTGCACCCTGTGGTCAGGGCACCGTCATCCCCAGTAGCTCAAAGGTGGGAGCACCCCGTGCTCACTGACAAACGGGGGGGGGGGGGGGGGGAGCGGATGTGTCCTCTGCACTGCACGGCATGCAGCAGCTTCTCATCTGACCCGAGGTGACCGCGACCGGCAGGGCCTGCAGCTTGTACCCTTCCCCGGGAGGCTCACGGCCTGCAGAGCTGCAGAGCGGTGGCCCAGACACCGTGCCGGTGGCCTGCCTGTCCTCCCCCACCTCCCCGACCTCCAGGGCACCCAGGTTTCAGGGACCCTCCCCTTACAGACGGAGGGCACCCAGCCCCTGTCCCTTCCCCACAGGCCTGCTCCTGCTGCCCTGCTGCGAACGGCCCTCAGGAGCACGCTGCGGGAAGGGGGGGCAGCAGGGGTCCCAGCCCAGGCGGCCCCTGAGGGTCCCGCTGCTGCACACCTCGGTGACCCAGGGCCAGGGCTCTGGGGTGTGGCCGCCTGGATCTAGGTCCCGTCAACAAGTCAGGCAGCGCCCTGGTGTCTGTTTGCCTCAGTTTCCCCCCTGCACTCCAGGAGACCTGCAGCACCTCCCTCCGAGGGGCTGTGAGTTTAGGTAACAGGGTGACATGTAAGGCACGGTCCTGAGTCAGGGCCCTGGAGCGCTTGTCACATAAGAAAGGAAACGTGGCCTGACTAGAGCCGTTCTTGAAAGAAAACCCGAAGGCTCCGTGCATCTCAAGTCGGGAATTTATTGAGCATGAGGCCGGGGAGCCAGGCGGGCTCAGTCCTGCTGATAGGGGACATGGAACCCCAGGGTGGTCCCCAGGGGGAAGTGAGCAAAGAAGGTGCGTGCCAGGTCCTCAACCTGCGGGTAGGCCCCCAGGGCCTGGAAGTACTGCACGTAGTTCCAGAAGTCGGAGGTGGAGAAAGGCCAGTAGGGCATGGCGGGCGGCTCGGCATAGGGGCCTGAAAGACACCGCAGCCTCAGTGGCTGCCCCACCCGCCCTGCCCCGAGCTGCCCCTCCGTGATGCCTCAGGGCAGGTGGCCAGTGGCCGGTGGCCAGCAGCGCCCTGGCAGTGAAGGGGCCCTCCCAGCTGGGAGCTGGGACCTGGGCCACCCCCGGTCCTCTGTGGAAGTACCCGGAGCCTTGTCATCTGGGTGATGGCCTGGGTCTGCTTCTCGGGACTCCTGGTTGGGGTGGGGGGGACAGCTCAGGGACAGGAGGAGGAGGAGAGGGCGGGAGGGGGGCGGAATCTGGCACCCGTCCTGGAGACGCTGGGCAGGGAGGGAACACCTCGGTGAGGGTGGGGGCGCAGCCCGGGGGCTTTCCCCGGAGACCACAGCCCCAGCCCTGGAGTCCAGATGCCACTGCTCTGAGGCAGGACTCAGGTGGGGGGGCCCTGGGGTGAGTCCAGCCCGAGGATGAGGAGGCCGAGCAAGCCTAGGACACCGGTCGGGGAGGGTACGTGTCCCCAGGAGGCTGGAGGGCAGGGCCCGGGGAAGAGGCTCCTGATCCTCTGCCTGCATAGCTTGTCCTTGGCCTGACCCAGGCTCCTGCTTCATTGGCTCAGGACAGGGGGACAGCCCCCACCCAGCCCCCACCCGGCTCCCTCTTCAGACCCCATCCAGCCCCCACCCGGCTCCCTCTTCAGACCCCATCCCACCCAAACACACACAAGGAGAGAACTAGAGGACCATACGATACCTCCCTCCTCCTGCACCGGCTTGGCCCCTGCAGAGGAAGAGGAGGACAGTCACTCTGGAGAGCCCCCCAGGCAGGACCCCCCGGGCCCCCGCACACCCGCTGCCTAGTGGCCAGGGGCACAGCAGCTGCCACTCACCCGCCAGAGGTCCCAGCAGGAGGCAGAGGGCCACCCCTGGCACCAAACAGGCCTTCATCACGGCCACCAGCTGACGAAGCTCCCGTCCACCTGCAGCGGGAGGAGCCGGGGTGGGACCAGACCAGGCGCCCGGCAGCGCCCGCTTCCTCCCCCCAAGCCTCCCCACACCGGGCAGCTCCCTGGAAAACGGCTCTGGGAGGAGGTCGGGCTCTGAGGGTTCAGTTCCAGGGGCCTCAGACCGTCGTCCTGAGCCCAAGCCCCGGCCGTCTGGGTCCCTCCCTGTCGCGGCGCCCCCACATCTGCCCCTGCAGGGGTTACCTCGAGCTCCCGGGGCTCACCTCGGCTGCAGGGGGAAGGGGATGGGCTCTGCAGCCCAGCAGGCTCCTCTTTATAAGAGGCCGGGCCAGGAGGCAGGCGTCCCCCTCCACCGTCCGCCCTCTGCCCTCCGCCCTCGGAGCGGAGCCGTCAAACTGAATATTTCATCCGCCACCGCCCGAGGACTGAGGGCTCCTGTGACCCTGCTGGCAGCACGATCTTGAGAGTTCACTCGTGGGGATCGGATCCAAGGATCAGGCTGGGAGAAAAACACCGCGGCAGAGGCCCCTGCTGGGGTTTTCAGGACTGGAGTCAGCACCGGTACTGGAAGTCAACGCAGTGTCCTGTCCACCGGGAGAGACACGTCCTGAGCCTGACACCGGGGCTGAGATGCCCCCTTGCACGAGCAGCGTAATGGCTTAGCTGCCTCGGGGGACCCCTGGGGAGCCACCTGCCGACAGGACACCGCTGAGCAGAGGCCGTACGGGAAGCGTGGGTGTCCAGCCCCCCCCCACCTCAGACCACAGCGTCCCTGCCGTGATCCAGCCCGTCGTCGGGAAGGCAGGTGTTCCAGCCCCAGGGACGCCGTGGCCCACGTCTAGGCTCCGGGGTCAGTGTTCTGATACACCTCGGGGCCCGTCACCCACGGAATCCACGCAGCTGCGGTCCACGGCGTGCCGTCTGGCTGGCCGCTGAGTGGCAGGGACGGCCTAGGTGGCAGATCCAACCAACACTCCCCTGGTCCCCCCAAGCCTTTGGCAACCTGCCTGGACCGGGGACCACAGGTCTGGCATCTCAGCCTCCTGCGTGGGCAAGTTTTGCACAAACACAGACAGAGCCACTGGCCGTCACCCTGTGAATCCACTCTCGGCCACGGGGGCCCCCGGCCAGCACTCGGTATCACCTCCACCCTAACCCTCCCCATATATGGCCCCTGGGCTGCGGGCGACACAAACGGTCCTATGCAGAGCCTCCTGGGGACACACTTCGCCCCTCACCTTCTAAGTCACATCTGAGCCTCAGGGTCTCGTCACGGATCTGGAAACAGAGTCACGGGTGGTCCTCAGGAGAATCAACAGCCCCCCGCAGATGACTACTTTGTGGGGGGAACTACAGGTTCTCCAGGCAAGGGGGGCTAACCCGCCAGAGGGGGAGGAAGGGCGCTTCTGGCAAAGGACACCCTGCAGAATGTCGGGGCTCAGGTCCTCACCTTCTTCAGAATCTCCCCACATGTCCCCATCCAAGTGACGGGGCTCCTTCTTGCCCAACAATACCCGGCCCCCCCGCAAAAGATGGCCCCAGAGATCAGAAATTCAACTTGCCTTGTGATGCAGCCACCCACCAGATCAAATCTTCTTGGGTTTGCTTTGTTTTTGTGTTTTTTCAGATACTGGAATCTGTGCTTGCAAGAGATACTGGATTCTTGTAGGGCAGCTGCGTCAGGGTCCCCGGGCCTACCCGGCTCGGGGACCTCGAGGACCCCTGGACTCCCCAGAGGCTGCGCCCCTGCTGGGGTTGGTGCAGCGCAGGGGAGGGGGGAGCAGGGGGGAGCTCCCAGGCCCTCCCTGTGGGCTCACACAGGCCACCACTGGGTGTGACCACGTGGGAGGTGCCGTCTGCGGGGGGAGCCCGTGGAGCCGCGGCGCCCAGGGTACCCGTCGGGGGCGGGGCACGGAGCCCTTCTGCCCGCTGGAGACTCGGGGTGCCCGGAGGGAGCGGGTGCTCAGCCTGAACCACGCTGCTTTGGCGATGGCAGCGGCGGGGCCCTTGGACCCCTGAGGGTGCTGGGAGCCCTCCCGGGGGCCAGCCGGGGCGGGGGACCTGCAGATGGACCCCCCTCTGCATAGCACAGACGCTTTTTGGCTCTTCACCTGCCCCCTGAGCTGGGAATTTTAAGCCCTGAGCTCCTGATTTTGTTTCCCCACACTCTCCGGTCGGCAACCAGCCCCACAGCCCGCACTGCGTGTTCCGTCCAGGTGGTCTGTGGCGGGAGCCGCCCTGTCACCCAGAGCCTGGCCCTCTGCAGCCCCTCGGCCTCCAGCGCCCGCATCTTGCGGACGGCACCGCCGTCAGGCCAAGAACGGATTCCCGAGTCCCCCCGGAGCCTCGTCCCCTGGGCCCTCCTGGCTCCCGCAGGCCGCCCACACGGGGGACGCGGGGTTTGGTGCAGAGCCGGACCTCATACAGCATGGGGCGCCCGCCGGGCGAGTGGGGCTCCCCTGCCCTCCGCGTGGCCCGCGTGTCTGTGGGGGCGCCGCCCAGCGCCGTGGGGGCTGAGATCTCCGCGTCCGGGGCGGCCGACAGGGCTGGGCAGCGCGCGGGGGCAGTGAGGACCCGCCGGACGGGCCGCAGAGGGCAGGGGCGCATCGTCCAGCACCGGCCGCCCCCGATGTGCAATCAGCCGTTCCTCTGATGTCAGGAGAAAGGAAACAGAATGACATATACTGTATCTTTATAACTGTTTCCTTATTTTAAAAAAAACTACCTGAAAAAAATCTGCAAGGAATGAGCAGCGATGGTACTGGGTGGTGGGACGACGGGTGGGTTCTTTCTTCTTTCTGGACATATTATATTCCTTAATTTATTACTTTTATGTACGGAGGAAAAACCTGTGGAAACCACCACCGGTTGCTCCCTGTTACTAAGCATTGTGATCCGCCGCCCTGGGTCAGTCCCCCAGGTCTTCCACAACCAAATCACCATCCCCACGTTCACCCCACACCTTTTCTCCCTGAGTCCTTCAAGCCCCTCTCCCTTACTGGCCTGTACACACACCTTCCCTGGATCCACCTGGAGAACCCTACCTAGAGGACCCCATCTGGAGGACCCCACCTGGAGAGCCCTACCTGGAGAACCCCACCTGGAGGACCCCACCTAGAGGACCTCACCTGGAGAGCCCCACCTAGAGGACCCTACCTGGAGAGCCCCACTTAGAGGACCCCACCTGGAGAGCCCCACCTAGAAGACTCCACTTGGAGAGCCCCACCTGGAGAATTCTACCTGGAGAGTCCCACCTAGAGGGCCCCACCTGGAGAACCCCACCTGGAGAGACCCACCTGGAGGACCCCACCTGGAGAGCCCCACCTAGAGGACCCTACCTGGAGAGCCCCACTTAGAGGACCCCACCTGGAGAGCCCCACCTAGAAGACTCCACTTGGAGAGCCCCACCTGGAGAACTCTACCTGGAGAGTCCCACCTAGAGGGCCCCACCTGGAGAACCCCACTTAGAGCATCCCACCTGGAGAACCCTACCCAGAGGACCCCACCTGGAGAGCCCCACCTGGAGAGACCCACCTAGAGGACCCCACCTGGAGAGCCCCACCTAGAGGACCTCACCTGGAAAGCCCCACCTAGAGGACCCTACCTGGAGAGTCCCACCTAGAGGACCCCACCCTGGAGGCCAACTCGTCTGCCCCAGGACAAGGGGCCCTTCCCCCTCACCCAGCAGCCCCCCCACATTACCGCTCGTTGCAGCTCTGCACAGCCAGCCGTGGATTGTTCCTGTTCCGGGGGATCCCAGAGCAACGGTCCTCACCGTGCGTGCAGGTTGCCCAGGGGTCCTGTTAAATGCAAGTTCCGATTCAGCAGGTCGGGGGGGAGCCTGGGAATCTGCATTCCTGACAAGCTGCCGAGACATGCCCGTGCCGCTGGCCCCAGAGCAGGTCTAGGGTCTCGAGGCGTGGGCAGGTTCTCAACCTGGGCAGTGTCAGCACGGCCTGAGGGGCACGTGTAGCAGGCAGGTGGCTGGGCTCCACCGCTCGGGTTCCGCCTCAGAGCTCGGGGCATATGCGACCTGTTACCCGGGTGCCAAGCAGGTTCAGGGCCCGGCTTTGGGGGCCGCTGTCTAAAGCAGAGGTTCTAACCCTGACTGCACATCAGAAGCACCTGCAGAGCCGATCGATAGCCGGGGCTCAGCCCGCCGGCTCCAAAGGCAGGAAGCCGCTATGACGGGTCCAGGTGGGGCCCAGGCTGGAGTTGCCTGGGGTGGGACGCTGGACCTTGGTGGACACAGAGGACAAAGGTCGGCCTCCATGCTGACGGCAGAGAGAGGGGCAGCTGCGGCCTCCGCCAGCGTGTGGTGGGGGGGCAAGCTGGCCCGGAGCCTGCCGTCCTCTGCTGCTGCGCCCCTGAACCAGGTGACACCAGGGCACATCCTGCCCGGCCTGACGCTCCCGTTAGGCGGTCTCGGGCGCCCTCTGCCGTCCGACTCCGTTGAACCAAGCGTGGCCTCCCTGAGGTGGGGGACAGCTGCAGGTGTGGAGCCGGGCCCCCAGGACAAGCCCCCAGGTCCCCGGAAGGACGGGCAGGACGCCCTCGGTCACAGCCCTGCCAGCTGTCCCAGCACGACCAGAGCCTTGTTCCTTATCCAGCCCTAAAGCCAACAGTCTTCCCGTACTTGGGCTCCCCTGCCTGAGCCTTCCGGGGGGGGGGGGGTTCCTCTTCCCCGACCCTCCCCGCAGCCACCATCAGCTCAGCTCCCTTCCGTGGCTTCACTTTGCTTCTGGAAGCGTCCACGTGCTGAGCCCGTCCGGCTGGGAACCTCAGCCCCGGCTGCAGGCTTGCTCCCGGCTCCCTTCTGGCCAGCCCGCTCTGGGCTCTGGGCTCTGGGCTCTGGGCTCTGGGCTCTGGGCTCTGGCACTGTGCACGGCCTCAGCCCGGAGCTCCCCGCCCCTGCCCCTCCCCGAGCCCAGGAACTTTGCCCCTCTGGGGCCTTGCCCTCCCCAGCACACGGTCAGTCACTCTGTCCCCTCCTCGGCC